CCAGCAGGGCCTGTCTGGCGTGGCTCAGTGGTTGAGTGTCTGCCTATGAACCAGGAGGTCACGGTTTGATTCCGATCAGGGCATATGTCCGGGTTACAGGCTCCATCCCCATTCAGGGATGTACAGGAGGCATCCGATCAATGATTCTTTCTCATTGATGTTTGTATCTCTCCTTCCCTCTCCCTTCCTCTCCGAAATCAATAATAAATAAATAAATAAATAAATAAATAAATAAATAAATAAAAATTTTAAACCAGCAGGGATTGTAGCTGAGTTACATGGAGGTTGCTGTAGACCTAGGCAGTTCCTCTTAAAGGGACCCCACGCAGGGTAGCAGCTTGAAAGAAACCAGGGACATACAGGGAGGAACTAACTTGTCTGGAATCAGGGCAAGAGCTGGAGGGGCAGCTTTCCCCCAGACAGAAGTGCTGGCAGAGGCCACTGCTTCTTTGACGAGCCCTCCCCGCCACAGAGCTAACAGGCATTTTCTTTTCCTCTCTTCTCTGACTAAATATAGAATAATTGCAATACTAGGATTATGTGTTCTCAATGGCACTTGTGTCATATGCTTTTCAAGTTTCTTGTAGGGTTCCTGCTAAATGCCACAACCTCAGTTTTTGTTTTTTGTAGTAAAATATACATAAAATCTACCATCTTAACCATTTCTTATTACACTGTTGAGTGGCATTAAGTACATTCACATCATTGGGCAGACATCACCACCATCCATGTCCAGAAATTATCTTCCCAAACTGAAACTGTCTCCCTTAAACACTAACTCCCCATACTCACCTCCGCTAGCCATGGCCATTGGCACCCACCATTCTACTTTCTGTCTCTATGAATTTGACTACTTGTGGAAATTCATGTAAGTGGAATTTTGCAGTATTTGTCCTTTTGTGTCTGGCTTATTTCACAGAGCATAAAGTCAAGCATTTTTCATGCATCAGAACCACAACACACAAGCAGAGCTCAATGGTACCATGGTATATGAGAAGGGTTTGGTTAAGCTGCAAGGTGAGAACAAGGCTAAGAGATACGAACCCCAATGTGTGTGGCACCACTCACAAGAAAGGGTGAGAAGGAAGCTGGTAGGATGTATAGGACAGGGACTTTCAGATTTTACTATAAATGCTTGAGTATTGCTTGACTTTTTTATATTTGTTTATTGACTTCAGAGAAGGAGGGAGAGATAAAAACATCAGTGATGAGAGAATCATTGATAGGCTGCCTCCTGTACGCCCCACACTGGGGATCGAGCCCGCAACCCAGGCATGTGCCCTTGACCAGAATCGAACCCGGGACCCTTCAGTCTACAAGCCGACGCTCTATCCACTGAGTCAAACCAGCTAAAGTTGCTTGACTTTTTTATGCCAAGAACATATTCACATTCTTCTTCTGTAATGAAGAATAAAACTTTAAAACTGAAATTAAGAATAATAAAAGAACAAAGGCTACAAACAAACTAGTTTCCTACACTGCTAGTAGTAGACCTCCAAGCCATTCTCTGAGCGTGGCTTCCCCAGGAGAAGGACCTGGGTCTGGGTCCCAGCTCAGCCCCTCAATGGCTGTGACCATAGGTGAGTCATTTATTCTTGGGAAGCCTCATATTCCTGATCAACAAAATGGGCTAATCACAGATTGAGTTTTAACCATTTAGCA